TGTTAAGCCGTTGACCTTTAATACACAGCTGTCATCTAATACGTGTCACATGTGTGTTTCCTGTGGCGCGTCACCGTGGACACCGAGAACTGATCCCGCTCCGGGGCCCCCGCGTGGGGCAAAGTCTCGCCACGGCGCGCGCGTTTCGGACCTCTGACGGACGCGCACCCGCGTGTGATGAGGAGTCGAGCACGTGAATGCGCGCAGGGGTGCGTGCGCGCGCGCGCGCGCGTGTACGCGTGTGTATTCCGCAGTGACAGCGGAGGGACGCCCCTCAGCGCTGCCTCCGTGGGGAGACATGACCCCCCCCCCCCCCCCCCCACACACACACACCACCAGCCGGTACCGTGGAGGTTGGGGAGTGTTAGTGTGTGTGTGTGTGTGTGTAGGTGTGTGTGTGTGTGTGGGGTGTTAAGGTGGGGCAGGTGGGCATCTTTACTCAGCTCGTGGGGTGTGACAAAAAAAAGGACAATAGCAACAGGGCATGCAGCCGCATTGGAAACACAGGGGTGTCATCACGCGCACGCACAATCACGCACGCACACGGACACAAACAAGGAGCTGCTACATGTGGATTATAAGAGCCCGACACCTCTCGCGCGCGCGCGGGCGCGCGGCGGCGGCGGCTTCTCGGACAGGACGCCCTCTGCCCCGTCGTTTTTGCGGCTTTAACGAAAGGAAAGGAGAAGGAAAGGAACCCGTGAACGGAGTCGATTCCACTTTTCCCCAACACAGACAGCCCAGCTCGGCGTTCGAGCGATGAAACAAACGCCTAACACGAACCAAACGGTCACAAATGAGCATCCACACAGTGCGCCCGCGCCTCTCTTCTGTGTATTTATCTTTTTTGCAGAATTTTTTTTTTTGCCATGTGTGTGACAATACCCCCCCCGACACCCCCCTATAAAAGAGAAAATGCTATTTTGCCAAATCAGAATGGATTCACATACAGTCCATTGTTCCTGGTTCGGGCTTGGGAGACCAAAGTAGGCATGAGAAAAAATACCAGAGGACCTACCTTCTACGGCCAGGACCGCGGGGACAACGAGGCTGCACACCCACAGCAAGTAATCCATTGTCATAAAGCAGACGTTTGCCACATGAAGAAAAGGTGTGCAGACTGGAGCCCCTCAGGATGGATGGAGACTCAGACCCAAAGCGCCGCGGACGAGCGTTTTGTTCCTCTCCCGGCTCTCATGGTCCTCGGCGTTGGCGCGGGCTCTCACGGCCCCCCGGTGCAGCCCCAAAATCCTCTGCGCGGAACCCCTCTTTATCCCAACACCAACACCAGCTTCAGCCGTGGACGCGTTCCTACAGGAGCGCTGCGCTGCGCTCTTTCCCCAGTCTCATTCTCTTTGTGCGACTTTTCTTTTCTTTTTTTTTACCCACGGCGAGCCTCCGTCCGGGGGCGCATCCTCCGGAGCCGCTGCTCCGTTCCGGCCCTGAGCGATGTGTGTGTGTGTGGGGGGGGGAAACCCGGGGAGGATGGATGCGGTGCGCGCCACAGGAGGAGCAATCCGAGAAGTCCTGCTCCGTGCCGCTCCGCGAAGCTGTTGCTTTCTCCTGCGAGGGGATGTGCGTCGGAATGGGCAACAGAGACACAGAAGGGGGCAGAGGGGAGGGAGACGGGAGGGGGGGCTCCCGGCGGTGTCAAGGTAGACGTGATCGGCGTCCAGTTTCCGGACGAGATTTTCAAAGTAATGGCAAATTCCTGTTCTATTCGTGGAACAGTCATTTCACAATCGACTAACTCTTTCTACTTCACACATGACTGATCAGTTCCCTGTAGAATTGGGCACCTAGTGAGGTAGGTTATGTATTTGAACAGGTAAAAATGGCTTAACTTGTTATTGATTGCTTTATTTGAACACGTATATCTCTGTATCCCTGTATATTCCATCCACTTCATGAGACTGGAATTGGAAAATTCCAATTCAGTCAGAGACTTCTTCAGATTTCTTGTAAAACGGCTGCTACTGAAGATTTGTCCAACCCACCGCCACCACAATCTATAAAAACTCTTTAACTAAATGAGTTACATCGACATTTAAATTCCCACTAGTATTAAAATTAAATGTTTATGTAACTAATTTAATATATATATATTCTGACATTAAATCACAAATCAGAGTATTGATGATATCAGATTATTGTCAAGATCATAACATATATGCCAAAATACTTCCTCACCACATGACTTATTTCACTGCTTTCAATCTAATGAAAGTCGTTTTAACTTATGTTCCACTGAGCTTCAACTAAGCGTTCTCCATCCTAAAACACAGATCATCCACATTATTTTCTCTGACAGTAAAAACATTGCTCTTTAATATCACACTTATGTATTGTATATAAAGGTTTCTATGGGGTTTTTAAGGTTTCTTGGATTTAAAGTGGTTAATTTCTGTTTAGATTGATCTGCTCTCTCAGGTCTTTGCTGTCTTAGACTCAAATGTTCTTCTGGGCACATTTTGTTTTTGTCAATTTCTTCTTCTGTCCCCCTTTTGTTCAGTTCAAACCATGGTGGGATATTTATTGTTTTATAAAAAGAATAACCAAACCATCCCTGATTCTAATGCAACAATTGTTAAATTGTGTGAGAGGCCAGAAATGAGAATGCTTCACATGTCAACAAGCCAGAAAGTGCGTTTGTTTTGCAGTTTTTTTAAGGTGGACCCTTTGCTTATTTATTCCTTTATTCATATCTTTTCTAATTTATGCTAAAGAGACTTTACAGTAGAATTTAGGCTTTAATTTTGAAGTGGAAGCCCTAGATCTACCGACCCTCCTCCTGACTGTTCGCAGCTTGTTGCAGTTCATTGTATGTGAGTGTGTTTGTGTGTGGGTGTTTAGGGGTGCAGGATGAAAAGAGGTGGGATGAGGAGGGGAGGAGGAGGAGGAGGAGGAGGAGGAGGAGGAGGAGGAGGGGGCGGAAGCTGGTTGATGCACCAGCAGACCTGAAGCTGCCACTGTACCCTGCGCCGTTTGCTCAGGCTGCCAGCAGGTAACAGCAAGTCTGGACGCCGCTGTGCCGATCAATTGTGACGTTAAATGGACTGTGGTCGAAAAATGGTGGAGAACGTCAATATGAGCTTTGTTAACAGCGGACAGACAGCCTCTCCCGCAGGTTATTGAGTGGCATTTGAGGCTGATACAGCATAATAACCATCTGTGATTGCAGGCCAGCTACACCTGGTTTGACAAGAGGAATCCACGGATTTGACCTCTTCTCAGCACGATTCACACTTATGGACATAACGGGATATTAATAACGGGAGGATGTAGAACAAAAACAGGTGATTTGAAACATTTGTTACGAAAGCCTTTTACGCTGAGCAGTCCAGTTATAATTAGCTCTCTGTGGCCCTAAAGAAACGGTGGTGGAACACAAAGTTGTTGTCCTCAGGGGGATTTGAAAGAAGATACAGTTTAAGAACTTATCAACGTGATATCTTCAGAGCTAAAAAAGTGTCTTGACAGACGGCTTTCCCTCATTAGATCTTGTCATAGTCTGACCTTTTGGTGTGTCTCTCTCGCAGTCTCTCCCTTTGGGTCCTTTTTCACCAAACCCACTCAGCCTTTTGTCGCCCGACGGGCTCCAGCCGAGTGTGTACATGTGTGTGTGTGTGAATTGTGTGTGCTGGCTGGTGGTAGCTCTGAGCTTAGGGACGGGGCTCCCCTTCACACTGCTAATTCATCCCTCAGTGAGCCTCGGCTCCCACTGCTTTATCACCCCTTATTCCCTTTATGCTGATCCCCCCCCCCCCCCCCCCCCCCCCCCCCCCCCCCCCCCCCC